CTATTGTTTTTTATTATAATTTTGTTTTTTCACACTTTCCTCAGTATATATTTTAACGTTCGCGCTTTCTTTCTATTACTCGTTAAAGACTACAGACTGGTAGTCGAAAGCTCGTTTTAAACAAATTTTTAACCAGAGATCGTTTTTCTATTTTTCCAAATGTCTTGTTCTGGTTACTTATCTATTTTTAAACACATATAATCTGTTTAAGGTGCGGCGACTAATGATGAGAGAGTTTGATTCTCAACAACAACATCAACGACAACATTTATTTATACCAAAAAAAGGAAAGAAGAATGCAATAATTTGAAGCTTATAAAATGATATTAGCTGCCTGTAGCAACCATAAGGCGCCTGGGCGCGTCTAGTTTGCACGCTGGCCGTGGGTCATGGTGCTATGCTAATTCTTGAGCAAGACAAGTTACTCGATAATTTTCTGGCTCGCGGATACCGGTGAATTCATACTAATCAGTGTGTCCCTTCATGCTGCTAACAGTAACATGTCCCTTAAGCGCCGGTATTTGTGGGTCTTTGGTCTAAATTCTCTGATCAGCCCTAAGGATGCTTTTTCCTTCACTTTCATGGTATTATAGGGACTGATGACNACTGGTAGTCGAAAGCTCGTTTTAAACAAATTTTTAACCAGAGATCGTTTTTCTATTTTTCCAAATGTCTTATCCTGGTTACTCATCTATTTTTAAACATTCTTTTCCTTTTGTGTTTGTGGTGGTTTGTGGTTTGTTTGTGCTCTGTTGAACAGACCAATCACATAATAGCAAAGTGTGAATGAGGTAAGCTTTCGCGTGAAAAGGCCTGCGGTGCAAACACGTCAGGGATTCCTGGCTTTTGTTTCACGCCGCACGTCACTAAAAATAGGCGGTGTTCGCAGGCTACCATAATGAAGGACGAAAAAAAAGAAGGTAAATGAAAGCCCTAAGTACAAGTGCTTCACGTGCTCATCGCTCGTTGCGTCACATCCCAAAAAACGGCTGCGGAGGAAACTATAGTTTGGGTTGCCTGAGCTAAAAGATGTGAATGAGTTAATTGGCAATTTCTTTTTATGTTGCAAACGCCAGTGTCGCAAAATAAAAGATGAAAATGTCATATAATTACAAACAATACAAAAAGACGGTCTGCAACACCAGTCACATACCGTCCAAAATAACCTCATGCACGCCCTTAAGACTGGGATCAAAACACAAAAACACAATTGTAAGTCAATATGAATGATAGACTTATGCCTCTAAGATAATTCTTTACAAACATCAACATCATTCAAATATATTTGTTCATCTTGTAAACGATCCGAAGGAGGTTACGGTTGACCACCTCGAGACAAGAAAGGCTTATATTTCAACGACTGACAACAGGAAATTCAGGAATCTACATGTAGTCAGCTTATTGCTGGGTTTCAGTGTCACGCCATTCAAAATGGATCAAAATAAAAATCAAAACTGTTCAATAGATAAAGTCCAGAAACTGGGAAATGAAAGAAAGTAAACATGCAATGACTCTCGCCAAGATTCTGGTCAGTGATTTTTCTTATGCAAGATATTTTTACCCAAATTTATAGAGATTTGTATGGAGACGGCATGCTGGTGCCCATCCGTATGGGCACCAACATGGCGGCCGTAAACCGAAAGAAACATCTGTCACTGAGTTTTACTACAAAAGCGTAAATTTATCCCTCGAGGAACTCTAAAACATTAAAATAATACTTTTTGTAAGACATGAACTGTTCAGATAGCTAAATTCCCCGAGATAAGTCACTATTTTAACCATCATGACAGCTTTCTAGGCCGTCATGTAAATGCCGCGTCACGCAAAAGCTTAGAAATTCAAGTGAGTGTATCACAAAACCAAGAACCCATTGGGAGCGAAAATTTGTATGAATATTAGTTTTCAACTGCTCTTATACATTATTAAAGAAAAATCTCACTAAGATCAATAGTTTTGTAGTTTGAATTTTATTGACGTCATGTGAAAACCAGCTATTGTTTCGTTTGTTTATTATGTCTCGGCACAAACCAGTTGGCAACCTTGGTTGACATCGAGAAGCACGGATTCCAGAGTTACGCACGGTCATCAATAAAGGTATGGCAGATCTTATATCAGAAAATCAAGAGCAAATCAGGAATGAGACTAAAATTTTCTGGGCATTATCACTTTTAATATAAAGCTAGTACAAAGTTTAAGATTCCGGTCGGTTCAACCTCAATATATTGGTCACCAGCCTTCGAACAGTGAGCAATAAAAT